AGCCCCGGGGAAGGAGCCAACGGGGGAGCCACTCCCAGTGCCACTAAGGAGCCCACATGCCGCTCGCCTCTCGCTGGCTGACCTTCCAGTCCCATGACCACCGTTTCACAGCAAAGGCCTGTAAAATGCGGTCACTAGGCAGTCAGCCATGTGCCCGCCCAAAACTGGGGGATTGTTTTTATTTTTTGTTAATATATTTTTATTGTTTGTTTTTGAGTTTTTTTCAGAGAAGATGGGAGAGGGAGAGAGAGAGAAAAACATCAGTGAGAGAGCATCATTGATTGGCTGCCTCCTGCACACCCCACACCGAGACTGAGCTCACAACCTGGGCATGTGCCCTTGACCGGAATTGAACCCAGGACCCTTCAGTCCACAGGCTGAAGCTCTATCCACTGAGCAAACCAGCCAGGGCCTTGGGGATTATTTTTAAAAGAGAACAATACCGGGGAATAATCAGAGGTCAAAATAACAAAAACCTCTCAGAATATTCCAGATTGTATTACCATCTATTTTAACTTGAAATTATTATGTTTAACGCACTGTTTCGTGAGAAACCCCTCAGTATGAGATCACAGTAAAAGATTATAGCCTCTGCAAACATAAATGCATCACTCACATATCGAAGTTCTTAAACTATAGCTTTCTATCAGGAAGAAATAAAAGAGTACATACACATTTAGCCACATATACACCCACAAATATCCAAGTTCTTAAACTATGGCTTTCTATCAAGAAAAAAATAAAAGAATACATACACATTTAACCACATATACAGAAAAGTATCTCACACACATGCACATATATACACATGTGTATGCATGTACATGTATGTGTTTGTGTGTACTATCCCCCTTTGATTCTCAAGTTTCCCAGATTGAGCAGTAAATTACATGATCACTCTATTTGTAGGTCTTTATTAAATTAATAAAAACTATGTTGCATTGTTTATTTCTGAAACTTCAAGTGTTAAACAATCAACTGATTTGGTATTGATTTCTTAAGTTTTTGACAGTAACCACATTGAGATATTTGGGGCAGATGCGGAGATAATGAGTAGGGTACAAAAAATTAAAGAGCTTGACATCTTCAACGAACAAAAAGCGCCACGGTGCTCTAGGCGTTCTACATAAAATTACGTTTCAATCCTCCTCTATTAAGAAGCCGGTCACTGTTTATACTTTTTGCAATTAACTCTTATCTAATAAAAAACACCTTGTTGGGGGGGGAACACTCACACCTTTGTGCCAATTAAATGAAGTTACACTGAAATGAATCCAGCTAGTCTTTAAAATGGCATAAATCAGACATGCCTTAACTGTAGTTGATGTTTTAAATAAATAAGGTGGCATCCCTAATCATTGGTTTATTCAATAAATGCTATGAAACACCTCTATCCATTTAGGGAAAAAGTTAGTGCTCTAAACCATACCATGTACAATAAATTTTTTTTAAGTATAAATATTTTTATAAATTTGGAACTAGGGAGGTTGCAACAAGAAATTGGCTCCATAAAACCTTAAAACTTTAACACAGTGATAAACATCACAGCCAAAGTTAAAAAATAATGAACAGACTAAAGAGACGTGCAATACACAGAAGAGGTAAGGGATTGATGTGTATACAGAGAAAACCCCATGTAACTATACGTGTATTTGTGTATTGTGCTTCTATTGTCTCCCCTCTCTCTTAGACAATAAACATTCCAATAGAAAAACTGAATGTATTTAAGGGCAAAAAATAACAAAGTGTCATTAAGCATTTGAAAAGATGCTCAAACTTACAAATAAACCAAATGTAATTCAAATGAAATTCTGAAATAGCGTTTTTTTTAAAGCCTACAAGAATTGAAAAACTAACAGGACTAATCCTATGGTGTTGGCAAGGATGTACCTTTTAGAGCAGCGGTTCTCAACCTGTGGGTCGCAACCCCTTTGGGGGTCGAACGACCTTTCACAGGGGTCGCCTAAGACCATCAGAAAACGCATATATAATTACATATTGTTTTTGTGATTAATCACTATGCTTTCATTATGTTCAATTTGTAACTATGAAAATACATCCTGCATATCAGATATTTACATTAGGATTCATAACAGTAGCAAAATTAGTTATGAAGTAGCAACGAAAATAATTTTATGGTTGGGGGTCACCACAACATGAGGAACTGTATTAAAGGGTCGCGGCATTAGGAAGGTTGAGAACCACTGTTTTAGAGGAACGCTTGAAAATGTATATAGTGCTACTCCTAACACAACAGAAATGTATCGTACAGAAATACCGCAACAAGCATACCAAATGAAATAAGTAAGTAAAGAAAAATAAACCCTAGCCAGGTAGCTTAGGAAAGCTTTGTTTTTGCAGCAGTAAAAAAATTAGGAACAATAATACAGGAATAAAGAACATTCAAGATATTTCTAACTTTAAAAAAAAAAAGGAAGTTGCAAAGTAGTATGGATAGTATAATTCTATTTTTATTTTAAAAGACAAAGCAATAATATATGTTGGCGCCTATGTGTAAAATGAAATTGAAAGAAATATAATTACCTTTGAGATATGAAATGATGGAGAATGTTCGCTTTCTGTATAATCTGTTTTTGCTAATGTCTTAACTATGAAGACTTTAAATTGAAAGAAAAGACGGTGATTCATACAATTTCTGAGATGGTTTCTAATTCAGTGTTAACACGGAAAATACAAAATTTCAGAAACGGGAAGAGTCCTTCAGTACCAAGGTGTTTTTGAAGAGTCCTTGTCTTTGAAAGATACTTACAGAGATAACTAAAGGGCACAGTGTGCCCTTCCGCTGGTGGGTCGGTGAACAGGCAGCGTAAGACTGGCCGGGAGGTGCTCAGGGGCTAAGCCGGGTTACTGGCACACGGGCTCATTACACCACTCTCCCCATTAGCTTTTTCTTTGAGTCTCCCATTAAGAAATTAAAAACAAAACCACAAACAATGTGTCACCACAATTCTACAAAAAAAGACTAACGCATTCTCCAACAACTACACTAACACAGCGAAGTATTTTTAAATGTTGATCAATAATCACCCTGCATTTCTTAGTGATATTTTGCTTCTGGAATGTTATGGGCTGTTCTAATAATCTCTTCATTATAATAATGCACATTTTGATAAAATACAAATTTCAGTTTTAAAATGTATTGTCTGTACGAGAATGTCAAATGTGGTAGAAAGCTACTGGTACAGCTCTTCCGCCCAGGCACCCAAGGAGTAAGGTAATTTTTGTCACCGCCAATTAAAAACTTCTACGGAATAAGACTGTTATAAAACAATTAAAGCTTGCAAATGCACTAGTCTCCAGGAAGAAAGTCCTGGAGGAAATTCTGCTTATTAAAATTGCAATTTTAGTTTCCATTAAAAGGAGAATAAGACAACAGAAGATGGGCTGGCAAGACAAATTATTTCTTAATGTCAGTTAAGCTTCCTTCAGATGAGATAACGTATCTACACCAGGTTGGGTTAGTACAATTTTGCCTCCTCAACTCATTTATCTCATTCAGTCATCCTGATTATAGCCTCATGGACTTCATTTTCAGAGAAAGCATTCTGTAACAAACAGCCCACACAACATGCTGATTACTGAACAGTTAATTCTAATTAACTTGGGCATGGCAAGAGAATTTTGATCAAGTCCTAGAATACAAATCTAGTCCGCTTCTACTGGACGCACATCTATAAAATACCCACAGCAGAGTCTCCAGACAAAACAACAGTCAGAGAGATCTAATTTAAAGAAACAAATGAGAAAATTAAAATCACAAATAATTTATTCCTCTGTTAGAGCTGGTACAGTTTTAAATAGCAACCAAGTACACAGTGGTGGAAACTGGCACAGAACCGCGCATCCCAACCGCCAGGCCGTCCGCCGTCTCGCTCAGACTCGATGTCCACTTCCTACTGACTCGCCGAGAAGAAGACCTGCCCCGACCTGAACCCACACGCACTCTCGCACTCGGAGACACTCGAGTCCCTCCTCTGACTAGTGTGCGGAACAGTAGGTTCTGCTTCAGTCACATGAACGGCACTCCCTGCGTTTCGCTTCCCGTTGGAAGTGGGAAAACCAATTCCGTGGTAAAGAATACATCTTGTTCCCTGGGCAGGGGCAACCGTGATGGAAACAGCAACTTACCTTAGGGCTGGATGCGTTCAGATTTGCTGAAATAACTGGTTATAAACCTCTCGATGCGTGACTCCTGCCTAATGCGATATCCCCGCACTGAGCTAAACAACCAGGCACCGGCGTCTCCATCTGCGAACTATGCCAGGCGAGCGAGCAACGTGAGCTAGACGCACCCTCTAGGATCCCAATCCCGATCCTAACCAGCCTCACCAACAAGCATTTTCCTACACACCTTTCTGTGTTATATTAACCAACATAGGAAAGGGGAAAATCAAGTGCCCTTTATAAATGGTATTATTTCCAGTTAAAAAAGCTGAAATAGAGGTTGTAAGTCTCTTGAACTCTTCTAGTATATAAACCAACTGACCTGATGTTAAAATGACCGAATCAATGCTGACCCTTCTTTGATCTCGTTTATAAAATGCTTTGCTATCACTACCTTCCCCGATTGACAAGGTAACTAACACTCCACTCCCACTCACTGCTGGTTGAGGAGAGGATTCCATTCCATTTACTGGAAACTATTACCAAGATTCTTCAGGTCCCACATGAATTCTCATTACCTCGAATTTTAAACTGTATTATAAGTGATCTTTATAAAAAGGTTTTAATCCACAAAACTGGAAAGCTTTAAAAAACGTCTTTTTACTCAAAACTGCATCCCTTGATTAGCTAGCAGGTAAGGGTCCGACTTCCTCGAGGACACCC